TGTGAAATATTTCATCAGTGAGGGAGGAAATGATAGAATTTGTACTGGGGTTGTTCTGTCTACAAGGGTGTCAAACTCAATTTCATTGAGGGCCACATCGGGGCTGTGGCTGGCGCTGGAGGGTTGGCAGGTGGGCCAACTGGGTGGGTGTGGCCAGCTTAACACCACTCATTGGGCATGGCTGACAGTGAGTGTGGCAACAGGGTGGGCGTGGCCAGGAGGCAGGTGGGACAACTGGGTGGGTGTGGCCAGCTTGGTGCCACTCCCCAAACTGCTGGCACATGTCTCCTCTTCGCACTGAGTAGACCGGACCGAAGACACGCTGGCTCGATGTCTCCTTTTCACATTGGATGGATGGATGGCTAGACACACAGATGATAAAGGTCTTAAAGGTGCCCTTTGGCCAGGCTCCCCTTTGTGATGCCGCACAGGCTCAGCACACAAAATGCAAAGCAGATTCCTTAGGCAGGAAAGGTTCAGAGAACGTGAAGTCTGAGGTAAATTTTACCTCAGAAGATGTTGATGAAACCAGGGCCGGAATGGCTTCCCTTCAGAGCGAGAGAAAGGAGGATTCCTGGAAAGCGAATAGCAGGGAAACCTTTCAGAGGCGGGAAAAAATCCCCCCCCCCATCCCTTTGGGGAAGCGCCATTTCCTGCTTCGCCCAGTGTCTTTCCCGCTCTTACGGGAAGTTTTAGGCAAAATCCTCCAGGGGGCGACCTCGGCCAAGAGAAGGTAACGCCGGGCGCTTCCCCATTGGGCTGCTGGAAGGGGACGTCACAGCTGGCTTTCCAGAGGAGTCGTGACATCACAAACGGTCGCCACTCTAGGACCTTGCACTCGTTCGCCTTAATCTCTGGGGCTCCACAGGCGGAGAGGAGAGTCGTGGTGGTGGGGAGGTCCAGACGTGCCCCGGGTGAAGGGAGGCGGAGGAGGGAGAGACCCGCGCCCCTTCCCGGCCCTTCTGTGGCTTCAACCCCGGGTCCCATGCTCCCCAGCCGCCCTCTCCATGCAAGGGGAAGCGGGGATGCCAGAAGGCGGCGGGGCTCCCTTCCCGCCCCGTGTCCGGGGTAGAGCCCGAGTGGGGGGAGGGGTGGGTTGGCCTTGCAGAGGCCCAACAGGAGAGGAGAGAAGCCAGGCCATGCTTTGCTTTTCTATGGTGAGCTAAGAGCTAGGACAAAGTGTACATTGGACTTTAATACATCCAAATAAATAGCAATGGTGTGGTTGCTTTCCAGGCATGTATTAAATCCTCTCAGTGCATTAAAAATTGCTAACGTACACAAATATTTGTAGGTGTTTGGGTAGCGGACAGATATCAGGATTTCAGAGGCTCCTGCTGGGTTGAGGATGTTTTCCCCCCCCAAATATTGCTCATTAAAAGGTTCTGGGTCAAACTGAAGAATAAAGGAAATTATATATAAAGAAAAAACAACAGGCTAACTCAATTCTTTTAAAATTGATTTTTAACCACTTTTCCCTCTATTTAAATAGCCCGGTGTAGCAAATCTCTTTGTATGTGTCTGTAAAAAGTTAGCACCCACCCTTCTCCCAGAAGAATGAAATATTCTAGGAAATACTAAAAAGGCTGAATATTATACCTGTCTGGATGAGAAAAGGAGAAACATGCTCTTGGAAAGCCTTTGTTAATAGCCCCAGAAAGACTGGGCCATTCTATCTATAAGACAAAAGGCTGGGCTTATCCACAACACAAAAGACCTTCACCTCAGGACTTAATAGGATTAGGATCTTCTCACCCCACCCCACCCCCCAAAAAATGAATTCATGGAACATTTATGGTATTTGTTTTGCTGTGGTTGGAATGCAGCAGGCAGTGACCTTGGGAAAAGGATCATGTGAAAGGTCTTATCACCATCCTCCAGAAGAACAGCTTGGTTATACAAACTGAAGTATAGAATCAAAACCACAAGAAGTATCAGTACCACTTTTTAAAACCTTAGGACCACACTTGAAATATTGCATCTGGTTTTGGTTCTAACATTACAAAAGAGACCTTGGAAAAAAGTGCAGAGAAGAGCAACTAGGACAGGTTAACAGAGTTGGAAGAAACCTTGTAGATCATCTAGTCCAACCCCCTGCCCAAGCAGGAGACCCTATACCAGGGGTGTCCAACCTTTCACCTTCCCTGGGCCACATTAGAAGATGAAAATTTGGTTTGGGCCGCACATAATTAAATTAAATAATTAAATTAATTAAATTAAATTAAATTAAATTAAATTAAATTAAATTAAATTAAA